AAACAAGACATTTTAGTTAAATATTTTTAAAATACAATTTAAAAAAGAATCAAACTATATTTAAAGCATATTAAAATAAAATAATTTTATTGAGATTGATATAAAATAAATTTACTGTCAATAATTAAATTTGATCTCCGAAATTATTAATTTAAATATTTCCTTGGTTTCTAATTTTTTTTAAAGTTAAAAGTAATTAATTTAAAAAATACAATATTATAAGTTAAAAAGTTTTGTTAATATTCTAAATGTTTGTTTTTCAAATATCTGGAATGACTATATTATATCAACTGGATTTATACAGGTGCATTTCCAATTGAGTTTTCAATTCGTGGAAAATTCATTAAGCTCATGATTGATTATGTTAATATTTGTTTAATTGCGGTTTATGGTTAAAACTAATAGTTATATTGTTTAAATGATTATTAGTTATAAATAATTATTTAAAAGTGCCAACATGCCCAACATATTTTATTATTATTATTATTTTTTCAGATGAAAAATTGTATCGTTTGTTATAATAGGTATGCTAATTACCGATCTGATGTAATATACAAAATAAATATAAAATAATTTATCATGTATAGGGATGGACGGTATAGAAGATTATGACTTATATCTTTTATACAATTGTAACTCAAGAAAAGTGTCGAGTATCTAAAATATATTATGGACAGTGAACTTTCCTTTTTATTGTTCGATAATTTCTATTTATAATAATATATTTTTCATTTTTTTATATTAATTTAATGATATATAAGAAATTACATAATATGTAGATACGTATCAAGTCGCTTTCTTAAGTATATTCTTGTTTAAATGAACAAAGTTTTTTGATAGTATTATTTAAATTTTTAAATAAAAATATTATTTTTTATTGACAACTAACCATATAGCTTTATACCATTTTAATTTTTACTCATAAGTACTGTAGTTTGTATCATGTTTAGTCGTATTTATTTTATATTGTTTATTTATTATTATTATTATTATTTTTTTTGTTGCTATGGCAATTACAAGCGTGTTCACTGAAATATAAAAAAACCATTCACTTTTATTCATAATATAACTAAGGACTTTTCTCCCAGCTCGCATTGCTCACCTAAGGGCTAAAATTTGAATGATTAAGTATTTAATTTGTAATATATAATTTACAATTATAAGTGGTCTTCAATCGGTGGTATACTCATTTTTAGTTATTAAAATATTTTCTATTCAAACAGCGAAATTGATTAAATTAAAACAATTTTCTATGTTTATCTGCAAGTACGATGCACGGATGACAAAAAGATAGTTACCGAAATAATCACAGCTTGAAATTTAATTCTACACAATATTACAATATTATACGAATATTGTTCAAAATAATGTTTTTTTTATAATAGTGCAAACATTCTGTACATTATTAATGTGTGCATATTATAATATTGGCCAAGTATACAAATATAATACTAGTAAAATATTAACATAAATGTATTACGGAGTAAAAAAAACTTAATATTATTGTTTTAAATATTATGATGATATAATGACGTGATAGCCGTAATATATAATATTTAATCGTTTATTCGAGTAACACCGGAAATTCATCATATATCTGGACAACACTAGACTTCCGCTGGAAATTACAAAAAAAGCTTGTTAAAAAAATACAGATCCTGCAACTCCCCATCCCCCAACATGACTTCTTCTTCATTTATCATTGTAAATACTTTATATTTTATATTTTATTGCATTTAAGATGGTAATACATTGGTGTTTTTTGTAAAAATTACAACTACTGTAGTTAATTAAACTTTACACACGCTATCGAAATGCAATGAGCAGTCTACTTGTTAATTGATCTTATTATGTGTTACATATTTTGATAAGTTCATGCACCCGCCCACCAACAATTTTCCACCTCGGGTGATTGTATAAAGTTAGCTAAATCCCTCAAGCACGATTTTACTAATGAGTATACTTCTCTATGTATAGTTGAGTAAAGTTTTGACAGAGTTCATTTTTAATGATTTTACCAGTTTAAAGTTATAATAATATTTATAGTCGACTGTATGCTATAAAATCAATAACTCATATCTTCGGTTAAGGGTGTTTATGATTTTTACAGATACTATTTAAATGCTCGTGTGATATTTATATGTTTACATTTTAATTTTTTTATGTAAATCACAAAAACAAAAATAAAAATTTTCGTTCAAACAAAACAAAAATACATATTGGTTTTCTCTAAATGCATTTTAAATGCCTACAAAACTCCTGTTCGAGTAAGTCAAATTATTTATTTTTTTCAAATATTTATCAAAACTTTTTAAATGCTTTTAATGAATTTAAGTAGTTTAATCGAAGATCCAATTTTATCGATTCCATAGTTAAGCAATGTACTATGATAATAATAATAAAAAGTTTATGTAATTGTATGTGATCTAGTAAGTAACAAACTGATCATTAACTGTGTACTTTTTTATGTATTTAGCTATATTTATAAACGTAATATAGTTCATTATGATTTTACCGTTTGGAATTCTATACATTTTATTTTGGAGGAAAATGGAAACTACAATAAACAGAATGCGCATAAGACACACGCAGCTAACACACCAATACTTGAAGAAAGAAGATCCACGCATATATGCCAGTTGCGGTACACTTCTATCAATTAAACATATTGTATCCGAGTGCCACTCCTTTGAAACGGACAAACGTGAAGCTGGAGTATCAGGAGTCCTCCGCCCAAACAACATTAATAGCTTATAATCTATTATTATATAACATGTTTATGTAAATAGTGTATATTAAGAATTTGTTAACTTTATAATTTTTTGTATGCCAATGGCCATAGTCGTCGAGGCTTATTTTTAATAAAAAAAAATTATTTTTTTGCAGTTATTTTGCGAATCTATGCTTATTAAAAGCCGATAGGCATAGGTTAGATATATTATATAATATAGATGCCCTGACGTAATGATGAATAATTAGTACCTATATAAATGGTGGTAAGGCAATTTGGATGTAGCATTAATAACATGCAATAACATTATAATAATTATTTATCTAGATAAACTTTGTGGACAAGAACTAAAATTTATTACATACATAATATGTTTAAGTTATACACAGCTGTTATGTTATAAGGTGGAGTACGATTACGCGCGTTTTACCTTTTTGGGTTTACGATTGCACATGCTTGTCAGAATAACAAATAATATGGTTTTGAACATTCAAAGGCGTACAATTACCGTAAAATTGGATGCGACATTGTCAACATTTTTTTGACAAATTTTAGTAATTTCATAATTATTTTTAATGTGTAATCATAATTTTCAATAATTTCAAAAACAGTTATGTTGTTAGCTTATAGGCATAACATATTAAAAATTCGAATCATAATATTTTTTATGAACTGCATAACATTTAAATAAGAAACGCATAATTTAGTGTACAACTCATTCTTTATTTTTAATATTTCAGTGTATAGTGCGTACTACGCCTATACACAAAATATTATTTTATAAGTTGTTTTTACAAATTATGTTTAAGTTTTCTTATTATTTATTTATTTTTTTTAATAATTTAAAACCTATCAAGAAGCTTTTCTTCTTTATTTATTTCAAGTTTTTGTTCACGCTTTTCCTGAATTTTTTTATGTTTAAAGTCTTAAGTTTCTATAAATGTACTTCTTATAAGCTTGACAATTATTATTATCACTAGAGTTCAATATAATATATGTATAGGAATGAAGTGCTAATATAAATATTTAATTCAATAATAAGTTTTATTTCTTCATCATCGTTTTATGAAAATTAAATTATCATAAATAATGAACTTTGGACATAATATTATGTTTGTATTAGAATATTATATCTTACTGTACTTTATCCAAAGTATAGTACAGATTGTTGAATCGATTAGATGTGTTTAACTGTGTGTCTATCTTATCTAATATTAATGCTGTATTTTTGTTGTTAGTACGCGTTTATGTTTTAAACATTATAAAGTAATAATAATTTCGAACATCTTTAGAAATGCAAAAACAAATTGATACTCCAATTATTAAGAAAATCCATGATTATTATAAATCTGAATATTCAATTAACGACGTTATGAATCAACTACAATCCATCGAAGAAAAATATGATATTGGTATGAAGAATATATTAAATAATAGATTATCGTTTTATGAAAGCAATTTAACTATTCTGAAAAATTCATTAAGTACCTTGGTTGTCTTATTCAATAACTTAAAAACAAAAAACGATCTATTGAAAACTAAATTAAATAACCTACACGGGATTAAGTTAAATTGATCAATATCACCAATTCGAAAAAAAAAACAATACTATATAAATGAAGTAAATGATAGAGTGTCTTGATTTCGTTAAGCCATATTTTTTAATACTTTGAGAACAGTGAGAACTCAAGAAAAAGTGATGATGTAGTTATTAATATATTAATATTGATAAATAAATTTAAATATATATATATTATTATTCACCATGAATCTTGATGAATCGATCATTAGTTTACAATGATATGATAATTCACCATAAAATAATCGACCATTACGTATCACACGTAATGATTTGTTAAATGTTATTATTTTGATAAAATCAAAATTAAAACTATGAACAGTCAAAGTATGGACATGTCTGAGTAAATGCTGATTTGACCACTTCTCGATGTGTGAAACACAAAGATTCTACGCCAAGAAATACAACAAAAAACTAGTTCATTCAAGGTAAAAAAAAAAAACTAATTCAGCCTGGACCGAGTAATGTTACGTAATAATGTATAATCTTAATTCCATAGTAATAAAAATAACCTGGAAAACTTTTGTAAAAAAAAAAAAATACGTTTTATTTATGGTTATTATAAAAATGTTAGAGGATCACGTATACGAAATAGCACATAATATTAAGTTATTTATTTACTACATTTATATTTTTAGTCATAGTGACCATATCAAATATGTAGTTAGATCAAAGTTGAACGGTCTTTACCTGAGAATTTCTTCTTTGGTGTTCTTGTTTTCTAGTTTCTGTATTAGTTAAAAATATTTCCAAATATTACATACCCTGATGACGAACATTTTCGGTGTTTTGGCAGCCTCTCGACGAACCTTACTCATATAACGCTCATTGTGGGATTCGAACACTCTTCCCGATCAGGTGAAACGAGATCTATCAGAGTCTGAGCGCAATATTCAATGTGTGTTTTATCCTGTTTATCTTGTTCGGAAATATTAATATATGAACGTATTATATACCCTATGCACACAACATTAGCAATAAATGAACCGATTCGTTAAATAAATAATACAATGCGATTCAACGACGTCAAACGGTTTGAAGTTTCAACTTTCCTCTAACCTTTTAAATGTTCACATAGCCATTATATATTTATTTGAATAATACATTATAATTCATAATTTAACTTATAACTAAACAGTATAATATTATTAGGTATTACTACTAACCTTGCTTGAAAAAAATAAAATAAATTACAATACATTTTTTTGTATACAAAAAAATAAAATTATATAGCCATCATCCGCAGATGATACTAAAAAAACGTTTTGTCGGAAATTATTCGAAATAAGTTTATCTAGTCTGTCCAAAATAAATTAATCAACAATTGTTCATCCAACTTACAAATCAAAATTAATCTCTGAAAGTTATATACATTATATGTATCTATAGTTTACGTATAAAATATTCGACTTTAAATTACTCCAATTCAAAGAAATACAAATCCCCATCTCTTCGGAAGTCAAATAAATATTGACATTGCGCTTGATAAAAGACTGACTTAGGCTGCTATTCCCTCCCCCATCTCTGTCACACACACACACATTCTCAACAGCCGGTTACATTTACTTCACCCAAAATATAAAATCAAAGCTCTCAATCCATACAAAATTCTATAATATGTAAAGTTCACCGGTATTGCTTAAACATTTCTGTTTTTATTTTTAGTTTATCACAATTACTTCATATAGAACTAGAAAATTATCCTCAAAAATATAAACTAGATCTGATTTGTTACCAAAAACCTCACCGAGAATTAAAGAAACATTTCTTTTCTCGCTGTAAAAATTGTCTGCACCTCAAAAAAAAATCTCACATTTTATTGTAAAACCAATTCATTTAACATCTTGACCCAGACGTCTTATTAATCGATTTTAATAACTCATTTTGCATAACTCAATTTTATTTCAAACAAATTTGCTTTTTCATTATGTATTACCTACGCATAATTTGATGTCCATAAATTATATAAACTAAAATAAACACTAAATTAGTGCGTTTTAACTTTTAATGTATAAAACAAATAATTCTTGAAAATGCTTTTAATGTTTTCACGTGAAACTCAAATAACACATAAATTATGAAATATTTCTAAATTTATTATAAATAATAATAATACGTCAATGTTAAAACCAAACATAAAACATTGTGCGCACTAGACCATAAATTAATCACTTTTACAAACCTTAAACATGAGTACTAAAATATAGGATGGGTTATTTGAGGTAATTATAATATATTTCTGAAAGTAAGTTTTATGTGTATTACTTGTTTATTTGCGATTATCATGAAATCGGCAATTTTTTTTTTTTTTTTTTTACTAAACAGTAATATATATTTAGTAACATTAGCTTATTAATATCGAGGTACATATCGTATTATTTTGTACAACATAACACACTCAATATATTAAACTCATATAAAATATAACTAAATTTATCACTATTACAAGTACTACCATCAGTTATAATAGTTTTACAAGCATTTGATATCTTAATTTAATAACATTTAAATAATACTTTATAGGTAATATGTTATTTCTGTGTCAGTATGGTGTACAAATTATATTTATTTTCTACTGAATATCCTCTGATTTTTTTAACGTATTTTGTAGCTAACATTCATTATGGTTTTCATCGAATGCACGTTATCACATCTAAGATCAGAATGAACTATATACATTATGATAATAATATTACATACAAATTATTAATTTACATTGTGATGGTCTAAGAATTTCAAATCCAATAACCTAACCAAAAGTAAAGTATAATAAATTTATATATGTTTACATTATAACATTCACGTACATAATTTCGATAAGTAAATATTTAATAATTTAACGCAGCGATTCTTAACCCCTAGTCCGTGGTTAGGTCCGCGATACTCATGTCAGGGATTCGCGATAACCTTAACACTTAACACACGTCAATACGTGACATAAGTACATTATTACAATATTGTTGGATTCTTATTTTTTTATTTTTTTGTCATTTATAATATATCTTATTACATAAAAATATAGATATATTTTATCTTATTTATATTACTTTTTTATGAATAATTAAGTATAATAAAAATTATTATAAATTTGGTAAAGATTAAAAGAGATATTTTGTAAAAAAAAAAAAAAAAGGTATTTGAAAAATATTGGCAAAGAGTTCGCGATTTTACGAAACTTTTGATCAGGGGTCAGTGATCTATAAAAGGTTAAGAACCGCTGATTTAACGTATAGATACTGGGTAATTTTAATTTTTCGTTTAAATCATCTGTAGTTCGTATATTCTACAAAATATAAATATTACTTGGACACAAATTTTATTTAGGTATAATAACATTTTAAAAGTGATAAATTTAATTATTTCTATACACTTAATTTGATAATAATATAACAGCTGTAATATACGCATTTAATTAAAATATTAAACACTAAAATAATTAGGTCCCTTAAATTAACCCTGAATACTCGTGTATTTTGTATTATAATCTGTACTCCTACAAATGTACGTCCGTACAAATTATAAATTGTTGCGAAATATTTTTATCTTAAATGTCAATATGTCATTGTTTATTTTCGGTGTAAATATATTATAATAGTGGAAATAAATGCATTACGCAAATGTGTATTTTGTATAAATAACAAACACATCTAAATAATAATACTTTTCAATAATATGAAAGTAATCAATAATCATATTATTTCCATATATTGACTTAATGCCTATATTATTATTATATACGGTCATACAGACAACATTTAAATTTGAACTTTTGTGAAAAATAAAAGGTGTGCTTAATGATCATTAATAAATTATTTCACTCGAGCAATCACAGACGATTAATTGTCATTTTTAATCATATCATCATCGTCGATGAGATATTTTTTTGATTTTCGCTACAGGTAACCTGTACCTCGCCATAGGTCATTTTCCTCTGATTTTATTTATACGTTTTACGTTGACGCTTTTCTTGAAAAGGCTATCCTGCGAGGAAAAACATATTTCTTTTCTTAATATTTTATTATCATGTTATATTATTCAACTTGTAGTATTTTTCTATGTAAATTTTAAATTTACCTTCAACAGTTGAATTTTGCCATTTAAAGATGACCTGGTTCCTATATGTTGAAAAAGAGACGGTCTAAATGTTACCCATATTTCTTCTTTTCGTTTTCGACAATCTCTCTAAGAACAATATTTATTTATAATTAATAAAATATCTCGTACACTGTATTAATAACGACGTATTTTACGCGCTTCAAAATAATTCCGAATTTTTAAATTTTAATAAAAAAATAATTGGCAACATTTAAAAGTATTACCTATATCTATAGTATAAATTGTATATTATACAATACTTAAACTATTTATTCCAAATTAAGTACAATTTGAAAATGTAATTAAACATGATTTTTTAAAATGTTTAAAATACATGCCCACCATTAAAAACAATTTACTCACAAGATCTTTTTCAAGATTACAAGCTTTTGTTTCCATCATTCCGTCCAGAAGCCAATCTCCCGGTTTATCGTTGTAAAACATCACGATGAATTGAATCAGCCATGGTAAATCAGAACATCTCATCATTTTGCCTAAATAAAAAGTTATACATTTAATATTGTAGCGATGTTACTCAATCACTGCAGTAAATTTTACCGATAAAACCAAGCCGACAGAAATCTAATATGAACCACTCTTGTCCATCGGCTATCCTCTGCAAAGCCGTTTTTTTCATAATGGTGTGGAATTGCGGCTTTGCGACTACATCGTCTTCGAGTTGAACATAAAACGATCCTTTCGGTTGACAGTACATCATTAAGAAAACATAATCCAAATTTTGTTTGCTCCTCCATCGGACTCGGTCTTCGGAGTCACCGAGCGTAATGCGAAGCTTGCTGAAATCTGGATAATATTCCGGCGACGGAGCGATTATGTCCACGAGACCCGAGTTCACTGCTTCCGGTAGCCTGAAATCGTATTATATTCAACCACAACAAATATTTAATAATTCGTGTAATCCGCATATAGTATAATATAATAGGAATAATTACCGATTTTTTATTTCCGAAGTTACTTGTTGCGTGTATTGTTGATCGATCTGTAACAGTTTAAACACATCCGATACAGATATTAATCGGTTGATCACATATATTTAATATTGGATAATGACAAGTTCACATTACTTCGCCAATCATCACTACTATTAGCGAATCTTTCTGTTCAGTTTGATTCATGTTGCTTACGATGTTAATTAACGTCTGTATCAAGTAAGTCTGTTGTTGGCGACGAACTGTAGGAACTCCAAACACCATAGACACTAAAAAAAAAACACATTCAAATTCAAAACTACATGTATTTCGGAGTGAATGATATGTTATTGAATATTTAATCAGTATTGAATCATCCGCGCTCACTCAGACGATAATTGGTTCCTACTTCTAATATTTTTTAATTTTTGGTTAAAATAATGTGATATTTATTTTATTACTGCATATTGCACAGAGGTTTTAAATTTATTGCTATTAATAGTCATATGCATGTATTGATGTATATACATGAATCAAGAAGTTTAGAATTTAATAAAATCTATCATTGTACCATCGTAATTTCTAATAAAATTATTTAATTTTAAATACAATAAACGTCCAAACTGTCGAAAATAAATGATTGGTTAACATGGAATTTATATTTATAATACAGTAGTTACCAATAAATAATATATTACATTTTATACATCAAATGTATAATAATATTAATTGTACGATGATGTATTTTTTTTAGTATATAATCCCGTAAAAAGTGATGGAAGTTCAAATAAAATCGTTTATTGCCAATTTAAATAATTCGAAAATATCGGACTCAGAATATCACGGTAACCACAATAAAATAAAAATTATACCGATAGATTAATATTTGAAATGGTTATTTCGGGATGGTTGTTACTGGGGGATACTACATATTTCGGGTTGGTCTATACTTCGGGATGGTCCATATTTAGGGATACTGTATATTACGGGATACTGTATATTACGGGATAATGTATATTACGGGATACTGTATATTACGGGATATTGTATATTACGGGTTATTGTATATTACGGGATAATGTATATTACGGGATAGTATATATTATTATGTATATATTGATCAGGTTTTTCATTAATTTAAATTATTGGCGTCATCAATCATCCTTTTGAAACAGAAATTAATAGTTAATAAAATAACTGATGAAAAATATATAATCAAATACTATGTTATTACCGATTTATGGAGGAGACGACACTAAAAATTTATGTTTATAAATTAATCTTATTTTATTTTTTATTTTTTTGTGGAGATGTGATTTGAATAATTTGAGTTCTCAGATTTCGCAGGGTAAAAAAGAAAATCTTTCGATATTGGTTTAAACTTTAAACTTAGGTTTAATTATTTACAAAAAAAATGTATGTATACATTCGTTTTATTAGAAGGATACTTCATTACATTACACTTGAAAAATATATGTATACAGTCATACAGTTCAATGCATAAAACATCGATACTACCGTGACACATTTATTTACGAACAAAATTGTCGTGTAAACAAATATTTGGACTTAATATTTATATATAATATATTTATTTTCGGAAAAAAAGGAAGAATTTTTAAGTTATAAACTACTTACTAATATAATTTAAAAAGTTATTAACTAGTTATGTACCAACTAGTTGTATTTTTAACGTTAAAAACTCAAAATATTATTCATTAAATGTCTACTTTTGACTATTGATATCGAAATTCGTGTGAGATAAGAACACTATGTTTTTTTCATTTTATTAACTAATAAGTAATTATTTCAAGTGTTTGGTTTAATAGCTACTTAATATTTTCAATAATTTTGGATTTTTTTTCTAATAGACAATATTTGTTTACATTCTGTATGTTGCAATGATATAATATTATTTTTTAATTCTCCTTTTAGAATTAACAATTATTACTTATAGAATTTTGGTGGTAATATTAATTGTTTATGAAGTACCAACCTATTAATAATAACAATTGATGCATAAATACCCAAATTAAAATCGCAATACCTACATGAATATGTAACATCAACATTGCTAAGGAATTTTTTTTAAATTTTAAGGAATTCCTTATTTCATACAATGATGTCCTTCGTTCTTGACCTATATATTATTTATTTGTACTACCGTAAGTAAACTGCTTGTAACTAATATTGTTTATCTGTCCACCGTTCGCATTGGTCCCTTGTGTGAAATTAAATGAGTAAATAACCTGCATTTCTGCCTCCGGAATGTAATATCAACGGCCTTAAATAATTCTCATGGGACCGCAGATGGGGCAAGAATGTATACACGTCAAAATGTGCCATCGGTGACCTGACCATTTCCACGGACTTGTTGTAAGCAATCATTAAGGATTCTATGTCTTCGGAAACGGAAACATTCAGTGACTTCACAATCGTTTTGAGGACCGAGCTGAAATGCTTGATAAGTTCTTGAACATCTTTCTCTTTCAGTTCATACAATCTAGTTAAGTGGTCCACACGCATTTCCATTTCCGCCATCTTATATGTCACCGAACTGTGATCATATAAGTCTCTGGTGTCTGTAACATTAAAGCGATTACATCAATGATGCAGTCGAGTGAAAAAAACAAAAAACATAATTTATTTATTGTTTTAATATTATATTATAGTTATAGTATGTATGTGTTAAAATTATATTCTAAATCGTTATCTACTTCTGCAACAATTTGACATGCACTTTAACGCAAACTATACTATTATATAGGCGTATTTTGTGATTTTACTTTTTGCAATACTGAAAGCCGTAAATAAATCACGACGAAAATCCAAACCTAGATTTATTATTGTTAAGATTTTTGTATTTTGTTGATAAGTATACAATATATGAAAGCCTAATATTATATTATATATTTAAAGATTTAATTTACATTGCACCGAAATATGTCAAATAATGTGACTCATTGTTCTAGAAACATAACAATTAAACTTATTAGTTATTATATAATATGAGTAATTTATTGTTCTTTACAGAGAATTCATACAAATATATTCGTTTTTATTTAACAGAAATCATTCATTTATTTTCACTTTTATTTAATTTGCAACTCGTTAGAGAAATAATTGTATATAGGTTCGTGATTCATGATAAAAAATCTTGTTTGTATTTTAAAAAGAAGGAAAATAGGTAAAACCTCTGTTTAATAGTTAGTATCTAATAGTTTTCATCATTGAATAAGTTGCTGTGACATATTATTATGTGTTTAACTTGAATTCAATGATAAATCATTGCATATAAAAAATAATTTTGAGTTAAGACAGACTGTCAGTCTTCATAACTATATTTTATTATATAATATTAATTAAATTGGTATTACAATAATTTAGTTTACTATTAGTAATACAGTATAAGTTGAATTACCTTTTGTCAAAAAATTTAGCATGTATTTATTATTTATTATTGTTAGTAACTTTTGATTCAATGCCACCTTAAAATAGAATAGTGGGAATAGGTTCGTTGTATTTATGAATAGGCAATATTATATAACATTAATTTAAATGTTTTGAAAATTTATATTCATAAAAAAATAAATGATATCGTTATACCTCGTTTGGATTTATAATTTCATCCGAATTTGAACTTAAAATGTCTATAAAGAAAACAGCGGTAATATACTTTTTAATTGTATGGTTTCAATAGGAACTATTTTGAGAAACTTTAAAATAATTTTTTTTCAGAGATAAAGAAAAAATTATTATCATTAAAAAAAAAGAATAAAAATAAAAATAAAAATATTTTGAAAATTATTTCCATTTATAGAAAATGCTTATACGTATAGCGACATTTTATGAGTAATATCAATTTCATATCTGGTTATTCATTTTTTTTTTCTTGAATATTTTTAAAATTTATGTTTATTAAGTTTAAACCAAAACACACTTCAAATATATTTTGAACTTTCCTGAAAAACTGATAAAAAATATGATTATTTTGTGTTGTAACTTGTTATAAGACTTACTACTATAAAGACAGAATATTAATGATGATGTTATTTTACTCGAGAGGCTCTTCTAAAAGCGTCGATCAAGTTGGAATTAATATTATATACTACTTATGTCCTACACAGAATATATTGCAGTATTAAAATTTATACTCGAGGGATTTTACACTTAATTTGTATTATGACGTCAAATGAAAGATACTTTGAAATTTGGTTCATCGAGCAAAATATATAGATAAAATAATTTTTTATTACTACCTACATAATATTACATATTATTATATTTTCAAATAAAACAGAACGTTGTTAAAGAGTAAATATATTATTTTTCTCCCTCATAACAATTTCGTATAACTCATATTTTTGTCAGCTTTATTAAATTACGTATAAAATTAATTTTAAATTGATTTATTCCATAAAACATTCACAGAATATCTGGAGTTTGCTTCCGAATTAACAAGAATCTTTTACACTTCTAAAAAATCCGAAAACCCTACAACCATGATTTTATTTTTATTTACCGAAACCAGAATATATCATTCTAGATAACCCGATTTATTTATTTTTTATTTTACAATATTATGTTTTACATGATAATATGTTATTTTGTATTTATTTTTGTCGTTAGTTAGATCTTATTATTAATTATTTAAAAACAATCGTATGTCAATTGATATCAATTATTAAATATTTTTCATAAATAACACATTATAACGTTGATACAATTATGCATCGTTTTATTATTCAGTAATATTATATTATCATATTATGTTGAACATTATTAATAATTTATGAAACGAAATATTTTATGGAATATCCATTATAGTCAGAAACATTTGGTACATTCATAATTTTCAAATTACGTTGTTCCCGAATTATATTTAACACTCCACTCCACATTAACCCATATTAATCCGAATAACAATGTATTTATGAGCATCCAATCGTTGGTTAAAATTTCTTATTTTGGTGTTTGAATATCCAACACTAACTTAACCCGAAGGACGAATAAACAATTAATGTGGAAAGCCCTTCATATAATCTATAAATACAAATCAACTTTATATATTCTATAATTCTGAAATGTTTTATTGTATTGATTTAGTTTGATAATTCTAAAGCGTTCAAATTCAGTTTATCCTAGCAAACAACGAGCAGTTATCATAATTTTAAAATACTAATAGAAAAAAATCCAATTAAATATAACTTTCATATACAATAATATAATATATTACCTAAAATATGTTTAAAATTATTTCGAATAAGCAATTGTACCAAAATATTAACAACGTCTCTACATTTAAAGATTACATATATGCGCGTTAATTATTTAACCGATTAATACATCATAAAATACACCTCTCGTAATATAATTATATAAAAGTGTTATTTACATTTAAAATTAAATTAGTATTTATTTTTCTCTTATTAATTTGAATTATCAGAAGATCAACTGTTGACACTGATTCAATTTACGAGTTTATAACGCATTTTTATTTTTTATCAAAGTCAAACTTATTTAAATTTAAAAATAATTATGTATTCAGGTAGATAAGTATAATAAAAACATACTTGAGAAGATGCCAGAGAACTGTTTATTTTTTTATTCGATCCATGTACAACATCAATAATTTATGTTAAACAACAAACTTTATGTTGTTAGTTTTAATATTTGAGCGAATTCACCAATCATTAAATTTAAAGTTTAGACCATTTTATATGTTTGCACGTTGGCATAATTTATACAATATTTTAATTTTAATATTTTATATGTTAAATTGTAAATAAAAATGTTGATATCGTAAAACCCCTGGCATACAAACATAGATAATGGTCTTAAATTTAAATTTTATGATAGTGGATCAAATCACTGCCATAATAAAACTAAAAACAAAGGTTGGTTCTGCTGTATGCAAAATATCTGTGTCATGTAGCATAGAGAAATAAAATAGAAAAAAAATAGTAGGCAGAAGTTCATATAAAAAAATTAGTGCGTTATTGACATCTTAAACATTATTTGAATTCAGAATTAAAGTATTTTTATGAGAAATTATATTATATTAAAAAAAAATATTAAGCAAGACATTTTTTTTTTTTTTTATTTAACACTATTTAATGTTTAAATAGGTGGATTAGAGTATGCAACACTTTTTACAGCGAGGTATTTCTGAAGTGCATATTAACTAATAAAAACTATTGGTAAATGTTCTAAATTTATTCATTTAAATTTTAAATATATAACTTAGTACCAGTGTCATATAATCTAAAGAAATATTTACAATTTTTTTTTTTTTAAATTAGCTATGTTATGAGCAGTAAAATATAATAATTTTCATTTCATTCGCTAATTTGTGCGTATATAGCTAGTGTAATGACTAATGACTGAGATTAAAATCGAAAATTGACTATGATGATGGAGGTTGGTGTCCAGTCAATCAAATTAGTAAATGTTCATACAATATTAGATTGATGTTATACAAGAAATAAAAATGCTTATACGACTGTTTATTCTGTTAATTATGAGCATTAAAAATACTGAAAAGTAAATTAAAAAATTAAAAGCGAAAATCATGAATTGTTTGTATAGAACATTTCGTACATAATAACCATAATGTATTATTATTTATTACTATTCGGTAACAGTATCTCGAACAGCCGTATTTCATATTTTATATCTATAACAGATTAACCCATACTATATTTAATATTTATGTATAAAAAAACTTATAATGAATAGTTTGTAGTTTTCTAATGAAAAGAATCATATTTTAAACATTAAATTGAATAAAAATATAATAACGTTTTACAATTATTGAGATTCAAAAATTATTGAACAGTTTTGGATATAATATAATGAACAAATACATTTTAAAATTTAAATTTCATATTACAGTTGTCACTCGTTAGTTCAAACCTCGATAATTTGAAAAACTCCATAAATCGAACTAAACGCCGAGTCCCCTGAGAAAACCTCTATAATTAGAAGAAAATACATGTATTCCGGTCCCCTCGATAATTCGAAATGTCTGACGGTGGGACACACTCTACAATTTGAATTTTTATTCCATAACCTCTATAATTCGAATTTCCTTAAACGAGATTATATGTAAGTTCATATGCATGTACAATGTACAATGTACATACATATGAAGATAACGTACAATCTATTTCACATAATCGTAATGAAACTAAGAACGACAGTGGTTTAATATGTTGAAGCAAATCATGACTACAATTATTGTTGAATATCAACATTCACCAACATTTTCGATAAATGTTTAGGTACAATTCATCAAAAAATAACAGAATACCGAAATTCACTGGTGAATGTTGATAACGATTAGTCAATGATCAAATTTTAATTACCATTTTTTGGAGAATGTCAACAATCAATTTATATATATATTATAATATTTTTGTTGTTTAAATTCCATGATTCCATAACTCGAATATGTTATTTCGACGTGCGTATTACTCATTCAATGTTCGTACGGTATGATATAGTTAACTTCATAAAAACACAAATCAAGTGGAAAATATAAAAGATTATTTCATAACAGATGTAACGAAATAATAAATAA